TTATCTGAATTTATGAACATGTTATTTTCTTGACACCATTTTTCAACACATTGAAGATCATCTTGTACTTTTAATTGCATATCAGCAATACACTTTCCTGATGTATGCATAGTTGTATGTGTTATCAGCATACAGGTCTGTATGGCAGTTTTTGATGTGTAATGGAAGGTCATTTATATATTACATCCCATGAACTTATGTGATTGTTGTTATTTTGAATATTGAATCCTGAGATAATAAACACTTATATAAAGAACTTTGAGTCTATGTTGCAAAAGCCATGTAGGCACGTGGTTAAAGAAAGATACCAGCTAGTTCCCCCAACCTAGCAAGATGAGTAACCAGGTCAGGAATAAGCAAAGTACTGGCCTCCGTTATAGATCTACAAATAAGTCAATATGGATGAAATCGTCAATATACCCCTTATAGGAGTTAATGCCCTTGAAAGAAGGTTTTTATCCTTTTTTTGTGTTTTGTGCAGAAGCTTTAATAGAAAGAGAGAAATTGTCAGAGCAAAATTGTTCAGAAAAATAAGATCTTCAAATAAGTCAACATGGGCAAAATTGTCAATTGAACCCTTACATGAGTTATTGCCCTTGAAATATGGTTTTCTCCCATGTTTGCAGAAACCATAATAGATGAAAACTGTAAAAATATTAAACACACAGAGATCTACTTATAAGTCAATTAACTTGGCCAAAATTGTCAACATATATATGAGATATTTCCCCATGAGCAAGGATTTGTATAGCACTATACAAATCATTGCCCTGAGTGATGATTTTTGCTATTTTTTTGTTTGTATTATCTGATTATTGTCAAAAACTATAGTCATGATAGTGGATAAATTTAAAGAGAAAATTTGTATAGCAAAAGATGTCAGCAAAATGAGATCTACAGTTTTTTAGAAAACATATAATTTTGCCAATTATTTAATTGGTGAGTGTACATGTTTTAGGCTCTTGGTAGCCTCTTTTATTTATTAGAAGCATAAACCGCTTATATGTATCATCCTATTTTATTTAATTCTAGATTACTCCTTTATCATGATTTATATCAAATCAATAACTGTACTAGTACACATATGAAGTCGATCAACTTTATTATCAAATAGATCAATTTGTATTTCATAAATTGATATATTTACTTGATATGGCCACTACACATGTATTCATAAGTTTCTTGTATTGTTTTGAAAAATGTCTTAAGAACTTGAAAAAACTTATTGAATAATTGCATGATTCTGTTTTTGATGATAATGAGAGATAGTCACTTTGAAGTTAAATATGGGGATATTGAATGGTCATTTGAGTCCGCCCCCACCCCCATCATACAAAATTAAAATTCATTATTACATAAAACACCTGGCCATTTTAGTGCTGTCAAGAATTTTTTTTTTCTGTAGCAAATATTTATGTTCAACATAATGAGAGAGCAATATGAAATTTGTGGTACCATCTGCTCTGTAAAAAGTTATATCAAATAATGGCCATGAAACTTGATGTTCTTCTTCATATTAAGAATTGATCGTTTTGTTTGTCAAAAGTTAAATATAAAAGATGCTATATGAAAAGATGTTGACACAATTTTTGAAACAAGATACCGTAAGGACGATTGTAGCCAAGGTTAGTTCAGATTGTCATGTAGGTTTAAGAGTAAAATGTTTGTTTTTAAATTTGTAAAAAGATATTTATATGCCTTAGTTGATGGCAATAGCTATTTATTGCATTTCATTTGTTCACCTCACCTTATTAAGCCCATTTGAGTTTTTCCCATTACTTGCTGTCTGTCATTGTCTGTCCCTCTTTCATTGTCTGTCCCTCTGTCATTGTCTGTCCCTCTGTCATTGTCTTTCCCTCTATCATTGTCTGTCCCTCTGTCATTGTCTGTCCCTCTGTCATTGTGTGTCATGTCTGTCATTGTCTGTCATGTCTATCATTTTCTGTCCCTCTGTCATTGTCTGTTCCTCTATCATTGTCTGTCCCTCTGTCATTGTCTGTCATTGTCTGTCCCTCTGTCATTGTCTATCATGTCGGTCATTGTCTGTCCCTCTGTCATTGTCTGTCATGTCTGTCATTGTCTGTCCCTCTGTCATTGTCTGTCATGTCTGTCATTGTCTGTCCCTCTGTCATTGTCTGTCATGTCTATCATTTTCTGTCCCTCTGTCATTGTCTGTTCCTCTATCATTGTCTGTCCCTCTGTCATTGTCTGTCATTGTCTGTCCCTCTGTCATTGTCTATCATGTCGGTCATTGTCTGTCCCTCTGTCATTGTCTGTCATGTCTGTCATTGTCTGTCATGTCTGTCATTGTCTGTCCCTCTGTCATTGTCTATCATGTCTGTCATTGTCTGTCCCTCTGTCATTGTCTGTCCCTCTGTCATTGTCTGTCATTGTCTGTCCCTCTGTCATTGTCTGTCATGTCTGTCATTGTCTGTCATGTCTGTCATTGTCTGTCCCTCTGTCATTGTCTGTCCCTCTGTCATTGTCTGTCCTTCTGTCATTGTAAACTTTTAAGAAAATCTCCTCTGAAACTACTTGGCAAAATGTTACCAAATTTTACCTGAATGTTACTTAAGGAATGTACAATGTAGTTTAAAATTTGTATTTAGGAAATTGATCCATGATGCATGTCAACTTTTCAAAATCTCCATGGGGTATTTTATGGACAAGAGGACCTAATGCCACTCTTATATTGTCATAATTGTTTTTAATTTACTACTATATTGTTTCAATGAGTATGTATGTGCTTAAATACCCTTTTACTCATTTGAATGCCTGTTTTGATGTGTTCAGTAATAAAGAATTTCAAAATTAAGATCAACACCTCTCATCAAAGAAATTCCCCATAAATCATAAAATTTGGTAGGTCTGATCCATTATTAAGCATGGCAGCTGTTGCGAAAAATAAAACCTATGTGTAACATCCAGTTTTTGGCTTATATCTCAAGCACTTAATAAGCAGTGGGAGTAGAAAAGATCTACAGGTCATGGTCTATCTCCTGTGGAATTTTCAGAAAAATTGGACACTCTGTTTTGGAGATATTACCAATGAAATATCACAGTTTGTGGGAAAAATTATCATGGTTTATCTCTCATGGAATTTTCAAAAAAGTCAGACAACCAAGTTTGAAGTTATTGTCCCCGAAATGTCATCTTTTGAAAATTTCAAAGAGTTTGGTTATTATCTTGAGAACAATAACAGATAGAGAGAAATTTTAAACAGTAAAACTGACCAGAACTATAAGATCTACAATAAGTCAACATGGCAAAAATCATTTATTGACCCTTATAGAAATTATTGCGTTTGAGTGATGATTTTTTTTTACCCGTTTTTGCATTTTTTGTGGAAACTATAATATATAAAAGAGAATCTTTCAATAGTATATATAAACATTCAGCAAAATATTAAAGATGTTCAAATCAGTCAACATTCAGGAAATTTTATATTGACCCTCTATTTGAGTTATGTCATCATTATAGGAGGTTAAAAAAGAGGTAAACCCATGTTCCAGATTTTAGTAAGATTTTTCATACAACTTTAAAGTAATACTAGTCTGAGTTTGAAACTGAAAAAGTATATTTATATTAATGTTTTATCATGTTTGTTAACAAAATTATATAAAATTTCTTCAAAATAAACATCATAAAATACATGTAAAATCTTTAAATCCTCAATCATCCAAAACCATATGAATCTTTAAAAATGATATATCATTTACAGATCATAAATTTTCATTTCAATAACTTTATAAAATAATCATAACATGATGGAACTTTATTGTGCAGGATGTATTAATCATAAAAAATGAAATGGGTGTAAAAATACACAAAATAAATGACGAAATTAGTCTGAGACGTATCTAACTTTCCACTGAGTACACAATTATAGTTATAGAATGAAAAATACATTATATAAAAAAACAAAGTTGATTACCCTGTTCAGGAGCAGAACCAGTAAGGGGGGTGTTTCGGGGAGTTGGAACCCCCCTTTTTATTTGACAACTAATGCTTTTGTATGGGGACATATGGTTGGAACCCCTTAATTTTTATATGACTTGCATGCGTTTGAACCCCCACCTCATTCCGTTTAAGAATGGCTGGATCTGTGCCTGCTGTGATTATTTATTCTTGTCAATAAAAATAGAATTTTTCCAACAACTTAAGGAACATTTTGCACTTATTTTATGTGCATTCTATACATATATACATCCGTCTTAACAATATTAATCCAACAATGTTCTGCAAAAGAAAGATAGATAAATGCAGTTTTTTTCAACAATTTTTAGTTCAGATAAAACATTCTAAACTTTGTAGAAATGTGACAACCCCCATTTCCTTGATATTAATGTTTTGTCTTGGTTCTAAGGAAGAATAGAAACTTTGAGGATCATCATAGCATTTTCAATCAGTTACTATATAGTACATAATGTATCCTTCATAGCACAGATGAGGATCCAGGCATTGTGAAAAGGGTGGTGTTACAACCCCCAGAATACCCCTCACATAATTAAAAGACAAAAGAAAGAAAGAAAGAAAAGGGGCGGGATTTCCAACCCCTGGATCTGCTAATATAGCACAAGACTCCATTTATTCACATCTTTTACACCCCCTTGATTTCCATATTCAACCATCGGATAACACAAAAAAACCAACAATAATTTAAAGAGATTTGAAATTGACAATACATTTCCATCTTATAAAAGTTTTAGAAAGTTCTCTGTTATTAAAGTCACTTTTTTTATTCTATTCTCCAAATGATTTCTCTTTGTTAGAATTCTTAACATCTAGAAATTACACCTACTTATCTTTTAAACAAAAGTTCAATATCACTCATCTAAAACCCAATGGAACTGTAGGTTGTTAATTTGTTATAACTTCCCCACACACCTTAATTAGCAGTGGTAGCTCTGTCCACATTGATTAACTCTTATTGTTGTTTAATCCATGACGATTTCTGACTTCATTGTTTCTATGGCAACCCTATTTTATATCTATTTAAGGTAAGAGATGAGACTTAAAGACGTAACATTGATTTAATGTGAGACCATCATGACAGATTTAACAAGGTATATTGTATATTTATCTCATTAATTCGTGTTCAAACTATCAAGTCAATATAAACAAGACTTGACTTTCTTTTCAAATTTGTCATTCAATTTTGGGGGGGGGGGATTTGAAATTAAATATCAGAATTCTTTTATGATGAAAAAAAAATTGATGGTAGATGAAACATGTCATGCATGTAGGAGTAAAACATTTATTTTTGATTTTTCATACATTAAGTTTGAATAAAATGAGACGTGGGATATATATCAATGTGACAAATAAAAACAATTCTTATGTAAAGTATTCATTTTATTATCTTCTTTCTCATCATTCATCGTGTAATTGATTCTGTTTTTTACTTGTATACTTAGATATTGATTTAGTTCGATTATCTTCATCATTAAACAATTGTTCAACACAAATCAAAATAAATTTGTTACTATAACCTTTCCTTTATATAATAATTATTGAGTTATAGTACAAATCGTTAATTGTCCTTGGAATTATGTTTAGACATATTGATTGTAACCCATTAATCTGTTGAACAACACACCTATTACAGCTCTTATTAATTGTCAAATTACACGAAAGAAAATCTGAATAAAAAAACACATTGGGAATAAATTATTATGGAAGCAGTCTAAAAGGTAAACGAAATTAAGATTTGAATTTTTTTGTTGTTGTTTAAGTTCTAAAATTTAAAATAGTAAGATCAGTTGACTGAATGCTTTAATTTCATCTTCAATTAAAACATTAATTAACATAAATGATGATATGTTTCTATGTAATGGTATAGGGAATATGATAAATTGGATTATTTTTTTACAGGAGTTTTTAAGTTGATTGTGATCTCCAATGGATGACATTACCGTGGTTACCAGAAGTGATGAAAGGTGGACGATATTTGGAGGAAAAACATGTCAGAAAAGTTTATGATACGATTGCACCAAGTTTTAATGAAATACCACAGAAAGTCTGGCCAAACGTCAAAAAGTTTATCAAAAACTTATATCCAGGGTCACTGGTTGCTGATATAGGTAAATAATGTGAGGATAGAAGTCTTATGGAAAACTCTGTTTTTTTGGGGGATTAGGTAATTTATATGTGCCTATGGTTTTTTTTTGGTAACTGGGTGAAAACTTAGGGTTAGAGAGTTGAATTTAAAAATATATTTTAAGTATAAACAAAAGTATGTAATAAGTAATGAGCCAAATGCAAATGATGATACAAGAAGAAATTTGTTCACTGATAATGACCCCTGTGCATTTGAAAGGGGGTGACAAATTTATTTTGTTCATCTACCAGTCAAAAGTAAAAAGAGGGAGGATTTGTATTTAAAACGTGTGTGTATGGTCCAAATACTCCAATGGTCCAGAACATTTACATGATTTAAGATAACTAGTCTATCAGTTATCAATTAATCTATAGAGTTGTTATACTAAAATTGATGAATATTTGACAATATCTGGCATTCATTATTATTTTTGTGATAACCTTAAATTGTGTGACAAAATATGTAAACTAACAAAAATTTACCACATCTGATCTTTACAGGTTGTGGCAATGGACAATATCTTCACATCCATTAATCTGTCTGCAAGTTTGGCATGGACATTTGTTATCCTTTAGTTTATCTATTTACATGTTGCGGTAATGGTTGATATCTTCACATCAATAAATCAGTTTACAAGTTTGGCGTTGATGCTTGTTATCCTTTAGTTTATCTGTTTACAGGTTGTGGCAATGGCCGATGTCTTTGCATAAACAAATCAGTTTACAAGTTTGGCGTGGAAGCTGGTTATCCTTTAGTTTATCTATTTACAGGTTGTGGCAATGGCCGATGTCTTTGCATAAACAAATCAGTTTACAAGTTTGGCGTGGAAGCTAGTTATCTTTTAGTTTATCTATTTACAGGTTGTGGCAATGGTGATGTCTTCACATGAATAAATCAGTTTGCAAGTTTGGCATGATGCTTGTTATCCTTTAGTTTATCTATTTTCAGGTTGTGGTAATGGCCGATATCTTCACATCAATAAATCAGTTTACAAGTTTGGCATTGACGCTTGTTATCCTTTAGTTGAGTTGTCAGGAGAGAAGGGATATGAAGTGTTAGTTGCTGACAATCAGTCTCTACCTTTTAGAGATGGAGCTTTTGATGCTGTTATCTCTGTTGGGGTGCTGCATCATTTCTCTACAGAGCCACGTAGGGTACAAGCATTGAAAGAACTGTGTAGAATATTAAGACCCGGTGGAAAACTCCTGGTATATGTCTGGGCCTATGAACAGAAACATAGAAGGGTATGGTATCCTGGTTTCCTATACTTTATCTTCAGATAGAAAATGAACAGATACATGTAAACTTACTTTTAGAATGATTTTATATAATTTCCTAGCGAGATACACCAACACAAATGTCCATTTTTTTCTCCTGCATTGTTCAAAATACAACTGACGTTGCAATTTCAATTGTGACATCAATCACGGCCAGCCAATGTTCTATTGCAATTTGAACATTGCTTTGTTTCCAAAGCAAAAGAAAAACTTCATATTAGAATAAAAGATTAAGTTTCAAGTGTATTGTGAATAGTGCTAGACTTAAAAAAAGACTTCTAGAGACCAACAAACGATCTTCAAGGATGGAATAGGCTCTATATATATCATATTCTAAGATATAATCATCCTGATAGTTATCAATAAATTCCACAGAGATAACCAAAGATGTAATCATCCTGATAGTTATCAATAAATTCCACCGAGATAACCAAAGATGTAATCATCCTGATAGTTATCAATAAATTCCACCGAGATAACCAAAGATGTAATCATCCTGATAGTTATCAATAAATTCCACCGAGATAACCAAAGATGTAATCATCCTGATAGTTAACAATAAATTCCACCGAGATAACCAAAGATGTAATCATTCTGATAGTTATCAATAAATTCCACCGAGATAACCAAAGATGTAATCATCCTGATAGTTATCAATAAATTCCACCGAGATAACCAAAGATGTAATCATCCTGATAGTTATCAATAAATTCCACAGAGATAACCTAAGATGTAATCATTCTGATAGTTATCAATAAATTCCACAGAGATAACCTAAGATGTAATCATCCTGATAGTTATCAATAAATTGCTCTGAGATAACCTAAGATGTAATCATCCTGATAGTTATCAATAAATTCTACAGAGATAACCTAAGATGTAATCATCCTGATAGTTATCAATAAATTCTACAGAGATAACCAAAGATGTAATCATCCTGATAGTTATCAATAAATTCCACCGAGATAACCAAAGATGTAATCATCCTGATAGTTATCAATAAATTCCACAGAGATAACCAAAGATGTAATCATCCTGATAATTATCAATAAATTCCACAATAAAAACAAAGGTCTGACATCAACACAAATTCATAAATAGATAAAAATATAAGAAATAATGACTGTTAATATAAGAATAAGGAGATGTGGTATGATTGACAATGAGACAACTATCCACCAAAGTTCAAGTAAAGTGGATGTAAGCAATTATAAGCAACCATATGGCCTTCAACAATGAGAAAAATCCATACAGTATAGTTGGCTATAAAAGGCCCAGACATGTAAAATATGAAACAATTCAACTGAGTAGCAAATTTTATGCATGGAATAATTTTTAGGTCTAGATCATGCTTCTTGAACATGTTAAAAGATGTTAAAAGCCAAAATTAATTACCAGTTGAAAAATGTTAGATTTTTTATATAAAGTGTTTTTTTTTAATTTTTTAAATTTTTTTTGCTTTTAAAAAGTATATTTATTAACTAATTTTAAAGGGGCATTAGCTGTCAAATGGTTATACCTTGTGTCTTCTTTGTTTCGCTTTTCAACGTTGACATTCTTTTTAATGAATGGGCATGCCATCTGACCACATGCTGAACACATGTGCAACCCATCTCACAAAAGGTCAAAGTAAAGGTTGCATGAATACTGATTCAAATGAGATGGATTATTGACTTGCAAGCCAATAATACATCAGCGATGGTTTTCAGCTTATTTTGACGAATTTGAACCACTGACTGCTTATAGCAAAATATTATTTTTATATTCATCTTTATCATTACAGTTTGATGGACAAGATGTGTTGATACCATGGCATGCTGGGAAGAAAATCACACAAAAAGGTATAAAGTAATTTAAGGGCATTGACAGTCTTGTATCTTACTGGTTTGTTGATCACTTGGATCTAAAGTGCTAATTGTCATAACATTAAAAGAAGCTAAAAGAAATCAGCATATATCGCATTGACTCACAGTCATTAATATTTTTTAAGCAAATGAGTGTTTCAAAATGCAATTTCTATGTGGCACTGAATCAATGAACACAAATTATATAAGGCTATCAAAATTTAAAATGTGTTTTTAATTAGTTTTTAGCTCACCTGGCCCAAAAGGGCCACATGCGCTTTTCTCATCACTTGGCATCTGTCGTCATCGTCAGTTAATTTTACAAAAATCTTCTCCTCTGAAACTACTGGGTCAAATAAAACGAAACTTAGCCTAAATCATCCTTAGGGTATCTAGTTTGAAAATATATCTGATGACCCCGCCTATCAACCAAGATGGCTGCCATGACTAAAAATAGAACATGGGGGTAAAATGCAGTTTTTATACGACCGCAAGAAAATATATCTGATGACCCCGCCTATCAACCAAGATGGCTGCCATGACTAAAAATAGAACATGGGGGTAAAATGCAGTTTTTATACGACCGCAAAAAAATTTTGTGGTCGTATATTGGTATGACGTTGGTGTCGTCGTCATCGTCGTCTGAAGACACATTGGTTTTAGCACTCTAACTTTAGTTTAAGTGAATGGATCTCTTTGAAATTTTACCATAAGGTTCAATACCACAAAAGGAAGGTGGGGATTGATTTTGGGGATTATGGTACCAACAATTAAGGAATTAGGGACCAAAAAGGGGCCAAAAATAAGCATTTTTGTAACTTCCAGACATAACTTGTGTGTTAGTGTATGGATCTCTCTGACATTGTACCACAAGCTTCCATATCACAAAGGGAATGCTGGGATTCAATTGGGGGTAATTGCCTCCAAATTTTAGGAATTAGGGGCCAAAAAGGGGAAAAAAACCAGCATTTTTCTAGTTTCATGACAATATCTTGTGTGTAATTGTATAGATCTCTCTGACATTGTACCACAAGGTTCAATATCACAAAGAGAATGCTGGGATTGATTTTAGGGGTAAGTGCCTCCAAATTTTAGGAATTAGGGGCCAAAAAGGGGCAAAAAACAAGCATTTTTCTAGTTTCATGACAATAACTTGTGTGTAAGTGTATGGATCTTTATGAAATTGTACTACAAGGTTCCATATCACAAAGGGTAAGCTGGAATTGAGTTTGGGGGTAATTGCCCAAAATGTTAAGGAATAAGGGGCCAAAAAGGGGCCAAAAATAAGCATTTTTCTAGTTTCCAGACAATAACTTGTGCTCAAGTGTATGGATCTCTCTGAAATTGTACTGCAAGGTACCATAGCACAAAGGGAATGCTGGGATTGATTTTAGGGGTAAGTGCCTCCAAATTTTAGGAATTAGGGGCCAAAAAGGGGCAAAAAACAAGCATTTTTCTAGTTTCCAGACAATAACTTGTGTTCAAGTGTATGGATCTCTATGAAATTGTACTGCAAGGTACCATAGCACAAAGGGAAGGCTGGGATTGATTTTGGGGGTAATTCCCTTAATATTTTAGGAATTAGGGGCCATAAAGGGGCAAAAAAACAAGCATTTTTCTAGTTTCAGGACAATAACTTCTGTGTAAGTGTATGGATCTTTATGAAATTGTACTGCAAGGTTCCATATCACAAAGGGAAAGCTGGGTTTGAGTTTGGGGGTAATTGCCCTTAATGTTTAGGAATTTGGGGCCAAAAAGGGGCCAAAAAACAAGCATTTTTCTAGTTTCCAGACAATTACTTGTGTTCAAGTGTATGGATCTCTCTGAAATTGTACTGCAAGGTACCATACCCATAAAGGGAAGGCTGGGATTGAGTTTGGGGTGATGAATCATAAGGGGGTTCACAAAATTTGGGGGGAGGATTTTTTTTCCCTTTTTTTTCTTTAAAATTTTCCATTTTAAATTGGTTATTTCTGATTTATATATAAAAGCAAATAATAATAATATGGTTTGAATTGGTAAATTAAATATTTTTAAGTTCTTAGACCACATTCATTCTGTGTCAGAAACCTATGCTGTGTCAAATATTTAATTACAATCCAAATTCAGTGCTGTATCAAGCTTGAATGTTGTGTCCATACTTGCCCCAACTGTTCAGGGTTCGACCTCTGCGGTCGTATCAAGCTGTGCCCCAGTTGAGCATTTTATTGGCTTATATTTCTGAAACTAAAGCATTTAGAGCAAATCTGACATGGGGGTATAAATGTTCATCATGTCAAGATCTATCTGTCTATATAATTTTCAGATGCATCAGACAACCCGTTGTTGGGTTGCTGCCCCTGAATTGGTAATTTTAAGGAAATTTTGCAGTCTTTGGTTATTATCTTGAATATTATAATAGATAAAGATAAACTGTATAAACAACAAAATTGTTCAGCAAAGTGAGATCTACAATATAAGTCAACATGACCAAAATAGTCAATTGACCCCTTCAGGAGTTATTGCCCTTTAAAGTCAATTTTTCACAATTTTTCGTAAATTTTTGTCATCTTTTACAAAAATCTTCTCCACTTAATCTACTGGGCCAAATAGAATTAAACTAAGCCACAATTTTCAATAAGGTATCTTGATTGAGAAATGTATCAGATGACCCTGTCATCCAACCAACATGGCCACCATTGTTAAAAATAGAACATAGGGGTTTACTAAAGAAGTATATGGGAAAATTGAAAAAAACAATTTCAAATTGTCACAACTTGAACACGAATTTAAATAATGATAAGGGCTCTTCAGTAACTGTTGTAAGACTACAATGGGATGACCTGCTTAAAATTTAACTACTGGGCCGAATTGATATCTAATACTATTTATTATGATTTTAACCTTATTTTACATGATTTCCAATACCACAGTACCGGGTAGATACAAGTGAGCAACACAGGCTCTTGAGAGCTTCTAGTTATTTTAAAAAAAAAACTATCTTGCAACAATTTTTTGCATAAATAAATACATTACAAAAATTTGTGAATTTACAGTAATGCATCTAATTAAAATCAGGCTAAAGCCAAATCAATGGCAAGTGGGCAGATTGTACATGGAGTAAGAGGGATATTTATTAACCCGAGGCTCACTTTGATCTGTATTTTTCATGAATTTTAGGGTTGTTCAACTCAGACCAGGACATATCAAGCACAAGCTCTATCAGTGAAGATGAATCCCTTGATTCAACCAGACATGTCATCCAAAGAACTGTTTCTGATCCTTCCTGTCCGTGCTGTCAACCATCTCAACCTACCCTCATCAACAAACTTCTGTCATCTAAACCTCTGTCTTCACGGCAACGATCCAATACTCTCCCATCAGCACTTGAGGCTTTGACGGGGAATCATGATGATGAAAGTGAGATACAGGAAGAATGTAGAAAACTTCAGATATCCCTCAGGGAAATGTCTGCTAGTCATAATCACTTGAGTGCTTCAAATGATTCAGTATTCTGTAATGGTGCAACGATTGAGAATGATGAAGATGGGATTATATTTGAATCTAAACATTTTGCAAACAATTATGATTTGTCTAGAGAAAATGAAAATTCTGCCTGTGAAAAAGCTGATGTTTCCAATCTAATGTCAAATGAACCGTGTCAGATACCATGTCAAAATTTACCATCTACCCACAATTTATGTGATGTGAATTCTAATGTAGATTCTCCTGATGGTCAACCAGAACAGACAGGAGTAGTGAATGATAATAATGAAGAGAACCTAACGAAAAAAATGTCTTTCTTTGAAACAATGAAAAAACGTTTCCTTAAATTTATTGACTCAAAATTTGAAAATAAAAGTCCTACAAATCATGAGCTGTCTGCAGGTAAGAGAAAAACATCATCAGAAAACAAATCAGGGAACAACAGAAATATACAAGATGTGAATTCCCCGAGTTCATTTGCTTGTTTTGCTGTTAGAGAATTTCCCATGAGCAGCTGTCATAACTACAGAGATTCAGTAAGTTCATCTCAGGATCAAAATAGCATTCAAAGTTTCCATGATCCTAGCCATCATACAACACAACCTGCAGAACATCTCTATGACAACGGTCACATCCAAAATAATTCAACAGGTTTACAAGTAGAACAGTTATCACCATGGTTACATGAAAATATTGATAATGCTGACAGTAAATCTGACATGTTGTCAACAGGACCTCTTGATAATGATTTACGACAATCTGTCAATACAAGTGTATATGATCAATCTATTAAAGACCCTCAAAATAGTTTAGGTCTTTCTGCTACATCAATCTCAAACTCTCAACAAAATAGTCACTATGATTTGGTTAAATCTCATAGAAATGTTGATAAAAATGGAAGAAAGAAGTGTAATAAAACTTTTATAAATGGTCATCAGGAAACAAAAAGTCAGGATGTTATCAAGGTGATGAATGGTGCAAGTAAAAAACAGTGCAATAAGGTTTTGAATTGTCACAAACAACAAGGAGGAATGTGCAATATTACTCATTTAGACTCTGATCAAAATTGTCAGTCAGATATTCTCAAGGCCAATAATTCAGGAAAATTGTCACATGACCAAGATATCCCATGTGACCATAATCTGTCTCACCGACAAAATGGAAATACATTCTCAGGGAATCATAATGGATTTAATAACAATTCAATGAATGGCTGTGATAAATCCAGACACAAAAAGTATTATGAAACAACAGAAACCAACAGTATATCAGGGGAGACAACTAATCAACATAATATTTCAAGGGAGACAACCAACTGTCAGAAAACTATATCACATTTCTGTTATAGTAAGGAAAGTTGTACAAATGAATATGCAAGTAAATCTGAGTGTAATAATGGGATGAGCAGTGGCAAAAACAATTCTCCTTTAAAAAGTAAAAGTGATGAAATATTTCTAAAGAATGGAACAACCCACAACGATAAGAGAAATCAAAATCATATCAGTAGCTCAGAAAACATATCTTCTAGTCGTCTTTCTAATCAACAGTCCTTCAAATCATGTGACACCTTACACAATGGTGCTAATTATGTGCCTTCTTCATCCTCTACAATGACAGAAGAGGAGTTCAGAATGTCAACCGCTAGACTCTGTAGGTTTTATCATGTTTTCAAACAAGGAGAGTTATCTAACTTGATTTTTAAATATGTAGATAATTTGTGTATAGTTAGTTGCACATATGATCATGGTAATTGGTGCTTAATTGCTGAAAAAAAGATAAGTGGTGTATATAATGTTTAATAGCATGACAAGGTTATAATAGATAAATATTATGTTTCCTTGGTAACTGGTGCTTGGTAGGATTGACATGTAAAATGAAGATAAACAGAATTTCATTTTTAAACATTTGTTGACTTTTTTTAAAATATTCTACAGGTTGAGTTGATAAAACATTTTTTTATGAAAAGACAGATGCATGTGTACTTGAAATTTCCTTAACTTGCTTTTAAGTTATGAAATGACAAAACACAAAGTAAATACTTTGTTCATGATATTTACTTTTCTATTTAAAACAAGGTTTGTGCTAGTAAGTTACATTAAACTCAGGATATTCAAATGAGTGAACATAAAATTTTTAACTAGATTCTATGTACAAAATGGTTGAATTTTTTTGTTAATTGTGTACTTTTATTTTTTTAACAAGGCCTTTGTTAGTCTGGTATGTTTTTTAATTTTAGTTCATTTATATGTTTTGGAGTTTAGTGTGACATCCATGTTCATCGAAATATTAGTACACATGTTTGTTTAGGGGCCAGCTGAAGCCTGCTTCTGGGTGTGGGATTTTCTCGCTTTGTTGTAGACCCATTGGTGGTCTTCGGCTGTTTTCTGCTCTTTGGTCGGGTTGTTGTATCTTTGACACATTCCCGGTTTCAATTCTCAGTTTTTTCTTGATTCATATTCTTAATTTTTTCATTGTGAGAGTGAGACTGATGAATGATACATTTTATTTTACAAATAGACTACACCACATCTTTGTGAACAGAACAACAATAAATTGTTTTTTAGGTTAAAGGTCAACATTGTGTACTTATATTGTACAACTAATCAAAATAAAGTGCACTTGTACTTATTTCACTATTTATATACATTCATTGTTTTTTGTAAGCTTTTATTATTTAAGGTGGTACCTAACACTACAGGGAGATAACTCTGTAAAAACCAGCTAAACGTTTTAATTACGTTGTATTGTTAAGGAAATATTAAGCTTCTCAATGATCAAAATTAGTGTTTGTCAAACTGCTATATAACCAATGAAATTTTTCTGATAAAGTGGTTGGTTCAAATTTTTTGAAATTTTTATATTTTTGTCAAAGGGTCAAAGTAAACATTTTGTCAAAATTTTATGAAAATTAAACGAGCCAAATTAATATTAGTCAAGGTGTTGGGTACCACCTTAAAAAATTTTCCAGCAACATTCCTTCATTGTGCCTATATGATATTTACAAAATGATTTATATTACTTATGCTCACAACTTGTTTAATTGTATGATACAGCCCTTTCTACTTATACACAGTCCTACACTTTCTTTAACTGCTATCATACTTATTCCAACATGTCCAATGAGTTTTATCTTTGTTAATCATGAATATAAATTTAACTTCATATTCATTGCTGACAAGTTTTGGAAAGCTCAGGAAGTGATAGATGTTACCTTTATAGGGACATGAAAGTTTACTTTAGTTACACCATGTGATTGTTGTGTGCCAATCAAAACAATAGAATTTTATGAAACATTTAATGTAATGTTATTATTTATTTTCAAATCATTAAAAAACTCATGATCCCGACTAGTCTATTTTCAAGTATACTAATTATTCACAGATAGGTGTAAAAACCATGCCCCCACCCAAACAATGTGTCTCCTCAAAGTAAATTTGTATGTTTTCTGTTATATTATTCTTACATTTTCTTTTTTTGTTTTTTTTACAGTTGAACGGGATAGTACATGTCTTTCTAGTAGTCCACTTCTGTTTATAATCAGCTTGTCTTACTTAGACCTATTTATTTTAACAGTATGAATTAGACCTATTTATTTAATAGTCTAACTAAGACCTATTTATTTAATGGTCTAACTTAGACTTATTTATTTAATAGTCTAACTTAGACCTATTTATTCAATGGTCTAACTTAGACCTATTTATTTAATGGTCTAACTTAGACCTATTTATTCAATGGTCTAACTTAGACCTATTTATTTAATGGTCTAACGTAGACCTATTTATCTCTTGGGCATTTTATTTACAGTTGTAGTAATTAGGCCATGATATATATTGCATTACAATGTATTTATGTTTTTTGTCTGTATTATACACATTGTCATGATTGCCATTTTCTTTCCTTCTTATTTTTAGAAGAGATCGGCTTTGCATCAGACGTACTATAATTTATTTTTAGAAGTCTGAAGAGATCGGCTTTGCATCAGACGTACTATAATTTATTTTTAGAAGTGGTAGGCTTTGTATCAGATGTGATATTATTTATTTAAATCCAATATGAAATTTATTTATTTTCTATTAAATTATTAATTTATTTAGCTATATTTATATTGATTTACACCTCTTCCATTATATTATTGCCTTAGAAATTAATCAAACACATTCTTGCCTTCAATAATTTGACCGCTGGACGTTAACCAGCCATCCATCATCATCAATAATTTGACAAATAGTTAAGCCTTTAGTATATTTTTGATTTTCATTGCCTGTTTTGCTGAATTTTTGTGTGAAAATATTTTGATATTAGATTTATATTTAGCTCAATTGAACAAAGGTAAACTAAATATGAATAAAAGGATATGTATATTGTATGTTATTGACAGCAACCTTGCACTCAAAAAAATATCTTTTCAATGTTTTTTTCTTCACAGACAAAAAAAAAGGTATTAACTATTTTGGAGATCAAGATCAAAATTTATTTATACTTTCCCTGACTGATTGAATTTTTATACGACTGCAAAAAATTTTTGCGGTCGTATATTGGTATGACGTTGGCGGCGTCGTCGTCGTCGTCCGAAGACACATTGGTTTTCGCACAATAACTTTAGTTTAAGTGAATGGATCTCTATGAAATTTTACCATATGGTTCAATACCACAAAAAGGAAGGTTGGGATTGATTTTGGGGGTTATGGTACCAACAGTTAAGGAATGAGGGGCCAAAAATAAGCATTTGTGTAACTTCCAGACAATAACTTGTGTGTTAGTGTATGGATCTCTCTGACATTGTACCACAAGGTTCCATATCACAAAGGGAATGCTGGGATTGATTTTGGGGGTAATTGCCTCAAAATTTTAGGAATTAGGGGCAAAAAAAGGGGCAAAAAACAAGCATTTTTCTAGTTTCATGACAATAACTTGTGTGTAAGTGTATGGATCTTTCTGAAATTGTACTACAAGGTTCCATATCACAAAGGGAAAGCTGGAATTGAGTTTGGGGGTAATAGCCCAAAACGTTTAGGAATAAGGGGCCAAAAATAAGCATTTTTCTAGTTTCCAGACAATAACTTGTGTTCAAGTGTATGGATGTCTCTGATATTGTACTGCCAGGTACCATACCACAAAGGGAAGGCTGGGATTGATTTTAGGGGTAAGTGCCTCAAAATTTTAGGAATTAGGGGTCAAAAAGGGTAAAAAAACAAGCATTTTTCTAGTTTCAGGACAATTACTTTTGTGTAAGTGTATGGATCTTTATGAAATTATACTACAAGGTTCCATATCACAAAGGGAAAGGTGGGTTTGAGTTTAGGGGTAATTGCCCTAAACGTTTAGGAATTTGGGGCCAAAAAGGGGCCAAAAAACAAGCATTTTTCTAGTTTCCAGACAATAACTTGTGTTCAAGTGTATGGATCTCTCTGAAATTGTACTGCAAGGTACCATACCTCAAAGGGAAGGCTTGGATTGATTTTGGGGATGATGATACTTAAGGGGGTTAAAAAAATTTTGGGGGGGGGATTTTTTCAAATTTTCCATTTTAAGTTGGTTATTTCTGATTTATATATAAATGCAAATAATAATGATATGGTTTGAATAGGTAAATTAAAAAATTTTAAGTTCTTAGACCACATTCATTCTGTGTCAGAAACCTATGCTGTGTCAAATATTTAATCACAATCCAAATTCAGAGCTGTATCAAGCTTGAATGTTTTGTCCATACTTGCCCCAACTGTTCAGGGTTCAACCTCTGCAGTCGTATCAAGCTGCGCCCAGCGGAGCATTTTATTTTTTATATAATCAACATGTGGTTTGTTTGCTTTTATACGCCCGTTTACGGGACGTATTATGGTATACCGTTGACTGTCTGTCCGTCTGTTAGTCCGTCGTCAACATGTCGGACATTAATTTAAAAATGCTTTAACCAATATGCATGAAACTTTGGTGAATTGTTTATATCTATTGACATGAGCTCCCTTTCGTTTTTTATAAATTTCAGATTTACCATTTTCGAGTTTTGGGGTTTTATTCATTAAAAAAGGGGGTATTTTCCAGTTTTTGGACAATAACTCAAAAAATATTTCACCAATTTGCATGAAACTTTTGTGAATTGTTCATATCTATTTATGTGAGCTCCCTTTCGTTTTTTTTAAGTTTTGGAAGTACCATTTTCGATTAATGGGGTTTTATTCATTACGAAAAGGGGGATTTTCCAGTTTTCAGACAATAATTCAAAATGCTTTCAGCATTTTTTATGAAACTTTGGTAAATTGTTTATATCTATTTTTGTAAGCTCCCTTTTGATTTTTATAAATTTTCGATTTTACATTTCCAAGTTATAAGATTTTATTTGTTTATAGTCTGACAACAGATTTACTAAGTATTGGGCAACATCACAGTGTATTGCACAACAGCAAGAAATCTTTCATACATCTAATTTCAAGTTCTTTGACTTCATTTATTCAGAAACCTATAATATATCAAATATTTAATTACAATCCAAATTCAGACCTGTATCAAGCGCGAATATTGTGTCCATTTTTGCCCCAACTGTTCAGGGTTGGACCTCTGCGGGCGTATCCAGCTGCGCTCAGCGAAGCAGTTTATTTAAATTATTTTTCTGAACGCTTTTCTAATTTAACATTTAAAATTTTTTCATTATTTGATATAAAGTTTTTCATATTTCTTTATGATGTCTACAGATTTTAGAAAGTAACAGCATTTTTTGTTCTTTGAATTGATGTTTCCCTTATTCAACCCCATAATCAGGATACAAAAAATCTTATGACAAAAATCGACTGACTATAAGTTATACTATTCATGACTTGCGACTATTTATCACTAGTAAAATGTTAAGTGCCTCTCACATTCAAAAATTTATATTTGACTGTAAAAATTGCTCAATTTCTGATCTTTTTTTTCTTTTGTGAAAGGAAGATCTGTACAGGAGATACTTTATACACAGGAAGTTGTAAAAAGGAGATGATTAAACCAAGGAATTGAAAACTTTTGTGGTAGCTAACAATTACAACAACAATACTTTATTTTAGAGGGTTACACAGTTAGCTATATAACTAATCTTCCCTGAGGCCCTCATCATAGAAAAGCATATAAAAAAAATCATTGAAAAGCACAGTGCAAACAGTGATATACATGACATACAATAGTATAAAAGTCAAGTATAATGATCTATGTTCAATACAACTGCATAAATTATGAAAAAATAATTACCATAAAAAATGATTGATATTTTATATTTTTTCAATTGGTTGATAATGATCTGTTAATTTGTATTTGAATTTTATTTTGATTTATGTCAACTCAATATCTTTTTTGAAGAATTATTTTAGAAACATTAGTACAAATATACAATTCTGCTATTTATATTACTAGTGATGATTTTTTTTTTCATTCAAATAACAATGTTTTTTCAGGACTCACACACATTCTCAATGAGGACTCACACACAATCTCAATGAGGGTCTGTGTCATGTACAGTCATCTCGCTAGGTCATCTCACTAGGTCATCTTGCTAGGTCATATATATTTTTTTGCTAGTCATAAATTTCATATACATTTACATAGTAAATCATTAAAAGATATTGTACATTGTTAATTCTGTATATAATTCAGACAGTAATCTTATTTGATTTTATTCTTATTGGTGCATTGATCTCTTATGAAATTACCTAGATAATGAAGCATTTATATTTCACAAACAACAACTACACAGAATGGTGATTTACTGTTATAACATCTATACTTTTACAAACTTACTCAATTATTGAATACATAGGTTTTATTTGATGATTGTTAATATTTTTATACACTACTGCATTGTACTAAGCCATAGACAGTCATGACAGAGGTTGAATTGAATTAGAGAAATAAATAATTGTTTGTAAATGTGTCAGATTATATACAATTGTAACTTAAACAATTCCCTCTTTTCATCAAGTTATCTCCCCTTTGTGTAAGAGTTGTAGTTCTTGAATCTACCAAAGGGGCTTGGGGCATTAGATCCCCTTTCACCATGTTACAGATTCAATGAATTTCTTTTTTTTTCTCCTTTTTTAGCTCACCTGGCCCAAAGGGGCATTAGATCCCCTTTCACCATGTTACAGATTCAATGAATTTCTTTTTTTTTCTCCTTTTTTAGCTCACCTGCTGTGACTAACACAATCCTACATTTAATGTTATCCTGCTGTGACTAAAACAATCTTACATTTAATGTTATCCTGCTGTGACAAAAAAATAACAGTTGTAAAGGGAAGTAACTCATATGATAATCACAGATGAAAAGAGGAAATGTTTAACTAAAGTGTTATAATGTTAATGAATCTCTTGATTATCTTTTGTGTAATTTTGATGATACTTTTTTTTTGTGCAATCCTGATGAAAATTGTTTGTAGTGCCATCCTAATGATATTCATCTGTCGTGCAATCTTGATAAAACTTATCTGTCATGCAATCTTTATGAAATTCGATTTTAAACATATCATTCCCCTACTTTTACTTTTGTTTATGTTGTTATTTAAAACAATAAAATTAACTTTGTTTAGTTGGTGTGTTTTAAACTTATGAATACAAGGAGATATGGGGTATACTTCTGCAGTCAATCTGTCCATTTAAAACATATCAACAAGTATTTCCCCTGACACTTGTTGATATGTCTGTGTCAGTATGTCTCTAAGTATTTCCCCTGACACTTGTTGATATGTCTGTGTCAGTCTGTCTCTAAGTATTTCCCCTGACACTTGTTGATATGTCTGTGTCAGTCTGTCTCTAAGTATTTCCCCTTACACTTGTTGATATGTCTGTGTCAGTATGTCTCAGAGTATTTCCCCCTTACACTAGTTGATATGTCTGTGTCAGTCTGTCTCAAAGTATTTCTCCTGACCAGTGACACTCATGGATGAATCTGTGTCAGTCTGTCTCTAAGTATTTCCCCTGACACTTGTGGATATGTCTGTGTCAGTCTGTCTCTAAGTATTTCCCCTTACACTTGTTGATATGTCTGTGTCAGTATGTCTCAGAGTATTTCCCCCTTACACTAGTTGATATGTCTGTGTCAGTCTGTCTCTAAGTATTTCCCCTTACACTTGTTGATATGTCTGTGTCAGTATGTCTCAGAGTATTTCCCCCTTACACTAGTTGATATGTCTGTGTCAGTCTGTCTCTAAGTATTTCTCCTTACACTTGTTGATATGTCTGTGTCAGTATGTCTCAGAGTATTTCCCCCTTACACTAGTTGATATGTCTGTGTCATTATGTCTCAGAGTATTTCCCCCTTACACTAGTTGATATGTTTGTGTCAGTCTGTCTCTAAGTATTTCCCCTTACACTTGTTGATATGTCTGTGTCAGTTTGTCTCTAAGTATTTCCCCTTACTCTTGTTGACATGTCTGTGTCAGTATGTCTCAGAGTATTTCCCCCTTACACTAGTTGATATGTCTGTGTCAGTCTGTCTCTAAGTATTTCCCCTTACACTTGTTGATATGTCTATGTTAGTCTGTCTCTAAGTATATCCCCTGGTAAAAGTGGATACGCTGTCAGTATGTCAGTAAGTATATTCCTTAACGCTAGTGGATATGTCTGTGTCAGTATGTCTCTAAGTATTTCACCTGGCATTAGTGGATATGTCTGTGTCAGTCTGTCTCTAAGTATTTCCCCTTAAACTTGTGGATATGTATGTGTCAGTCAGTCTCTAAGTGCATCCCCTGGTAAAAGTGGATACGCTGTTAGTATGTCTGTAAGTATATTCCTAGACGCTAGTGGATCTGTCTGTGTCAGTCTGTCTCTTAGTATATCCCCTTAAACTTGTGGATATGTATGTGTCAGTCAGTCTCTTAAATACATCCCCTGGTAAAAGTGGATACGCTGTCAGTATGTCTATAAGTATATTCCTTGACGCTAGTGGATATGACTGTGTCAGTATGTCTCCTGACACTATAGTATGTCTGAATCATTATATCCCCTGACACTTAGTGGATATATCTGTCAGTGTGTCAGTTGGTATATCGCCTGACACTTGTTGATATGTCTCAGTCAATCGGTCTCTAAGTACACCCCCTGACACTAGTGGATATGTCGGTGTCGGTATGTCTGTAAGTATATCCCCTGTCATTAGTGCATATGTATGCGTCAGTCTGTCTCTAAGTACACCCCCGACACTAGTGGATATGTATGCGCCAAACTGTCTCTAAGTACACCCCTTACACTAGTGGATATGTATGCATCAGTCTGTCTCTAAGTACACCCCGACATTAGTTAATATGTTTATATCAGTCTATCTCTCAGTATTTGTCCTGACAAAAATTGATATGTCTGTGTCAGTCTAGCTCGTTAGAATATTCCCTGACACTTTTGGATATGTCAGAGTAAATCTGACTGTTGAAATATTCCCTGACACTTTTGGATATGTTTAAGTCAGTCTCGCTGTTGAAATAATCCCTGACACTATTTGATTTGTCGGAGTCAGTCTGGCTGTTGAAATATTCCCTGACACTTTTGTATACCGGTATGTTGAAGTCAGTCTGGCTGTTAAAATATTCCCTGACACTATTTGATATATCGGAGTCAGTCTGGCTGTTGAAATATTCCCTGACACTTTGTATATGTTGAAGTCAGTCTGGCTGTTACAATATTCCCTGACACTATTTGATATGTCGGAGTCAGTCTGGCTGTTGAAATTTTCCCTGACACTTCTGTATATGTTGAAGTCAGTCTGGTTGTTGAAATATTCCCTGCCACTTTTGGATATGTCGGAGTCAGTCTGGTTGTTGAAATATTCCCTGACACTTTTGGATATGTCGAAGTCAGTCTGGCTGTTGAAATATTCACTGACACTTTTGGATATGTCTAAGTCAGTCTGACTGTTGAAATATTCCCTGACACTTTTGGATATGTCGAAGTCAGTCTGGCTTGAAATATTCCCTGACACTTTTGGATATGTCGAAGTCAGTCTGGCTGTTGAAATATTCACTGACACTGTTGGATATGTCGGAGTCAGTCTGGTTGTTGAAATATTCCCTGACACTTTTGGATATGTCGAAGTCAGTCTGGCTGTTGAAATATTCACTGACACTGTTGGATATGTCGGAGTCAGTCTGGCTGTTTAAATTTTCCCTGCCACTTTTGGATATGTCGGAGTCAGTCTGGTTGTTGAAATATTCCCTGACACTTTTGGATATGTTGAAGTCAGTCTGGCTGTTAAAATATTCCCCGACACTATTGGATTTGTCGGAGTCAGTCTGGCTGATGAAATAATCCCTGACACTTTTGGATATGTCAGAGTCAGTCTCGTTGTTGACATATTCCCTGACACTGTTGGATATGTCGGAGTCAGTCTGACAGTTAAAATATTCCCCGACACCTTTGAATATGTCGGAGTCTTTCTGACTGTTAAAATATTCACTGTCATTATTGGATATGTCGGAGTCACTCTGACTGTTGAAATATTCCCTGACACTTTTGGATATATCGAAGTCTGTCTGGCTGTTGAAATATTCCCTGACACTTTTGGATATGTCGGAGTCAGTCTGGTTGTTGAAATATTCCCTGACACTATTTGATATGTCGGAGTCAGTCTGGTTGATGTAATGATGAAAGATTCCCTGACACTTTTGGATATGTCGGAGTCAGTCTGGTTGTTGAAATATTCCCTGACATTGTTGGATATGTCGGAGTCAGTGTGACAGTTAAAATATTCCCTGACACCTTTGAATATGTCGGAGTCTGTCTGGCTGTTAAAATGTTCCCTGTCACTTTTGGATATGTCGGAGTAAGTCAGGCTGTTGAAATATTCCCTGACACCTTTGAATATGTCGGAGTCTGTCTGGCTGTTAAACTATCCCCTGCTACTTTTGGATATGTCGGAGTCTGTCTGTCTGGCTGTTAAAATATTCCCTGACACTATTTGATATGTCGAAGTCAGTCTGGCTGTTGAAATATTCCCTGACACTTTTTGATATGTCGGGAGTAAGTCTGACTGTTGAAATATTCCCTGACACTTTTTTTGGATATGTCGGAGTCAGTCTGACAGTTAAAATGTTCCCTGACACCCTTGAATATGTCGAAATCAGTCTAGCTGTTGAAATATTCCCTGATACTTTATGATATGTCGGAGTCACTCTGAATGTTGCACTATCCCCTGACACTTTTGGATATGTCGGAGTAAGTCTGCATGACTGTTGAAATATTCCCTGACACTTTTGGATATGTCGGAGTAAGTCTGACTGTTGAAATATTCCCGGACACTTTTGGATATGTCGGAGTCAGTCTGGCTGTTGAAATATTCCCTCACACTTTTGGATATGTCTAAGTCAGTCTCGCTGTTAAAATATTCCCTGACACTTTTGGATATGTCGGAGTCACTCTGACTGTTGAAATATTCCCCGACACTTTTGGATATGTCGGAGTCACTCTGACTGTTGAAATATTCCCTCACACCTTTGAATATGTCGGAGTCAGTCTGGCTGTTAAAATATTCCCAGACACTTTTGGATATGTCGGAGTCACTCTGACTGTTGAAATATTCCCCGACACTTTTGGATATGTCGGAGTCACTCTGACTGTTGAAATATTCCCCGACACTTTTGGATATGTCGGAGTCAGTCTGGCTGTTGAAATATTCCCTGACACCTTTGGATATGTCGAAGTCAGTCTGGCTGTTGAAATATTCACTGACACTGTTGGATATGTCGGAGTCAGTCTGGCTGTTTAAATATTCCCTGCCACTTTTGGATATGTCGGAGTCAGTCTGGTTGTTGAAATATTCCCTGACACTTTTGGATATGTCGAAGTCAGTCTGGCTGTTAAAATATTCCCCGACACTATTGGATTTGTCGGAGTCAGTCTGGCTGATGAAATAATCCCTGACACTTTTGGATATGTCAGAGTCAGTCTCGTTGTTGACATATTCCCTGACACTGTTGGATATGTCGGAGTCAGTCTGACAGTTAAAATATTCCCCGACACCTTTGAATATGTCGGAGTCTGTCTGACTGTTAAAATATTCACTGTCATTATTGGATATGTCGGAGTCACTCTGACTGTTGAAATATTCCCTGACACTTTTGGATATATCGAAGTCTGTCTGGCTGTTGAAATATTCCCTGACACTTTTGGATATGTCGGAGTCAGTCTGGTTGTTGAAATATTCCCTGACACTATTTGATATGTCGGAGTCAGTCTGGTTGATGTAATGATGAAAGATTCCCTGACACTTTTGGATATGTCGGAGTCAGTCTGGTTGTTGAAATATTCCCTGACATTGTTGGATATGTCGGAGTCAGTGTGACAGTTAAAATATTCCCTGACACCTTTGAATATGTCGGAGTCTGTCTGGCTGTTGAACTATCCCCTGCTACTTTTGGATATGTCGGAGTCTGTCTGTCTGGCTGTTAAAATATAACAAATAAGAATATCACTGTTTATTAGTACATCCCCGTACATTATTGTATTTATCTGTCAGTATGTTTCCAAATATATACCCTGACACTATTGGAAATGCCTATGTCAGTTCGTTTCGAAGTATATCCTTTAACACTTAAATCTATTTTGATATATGACACAAAATGATACGACTTTTTGATGCTTGTGTCAAATGTCAGAATGTTGGGATATAGACGTGGTAATCTTGTGGTAGTAGTTTCGATGTAGTCGATGTAAACTAGTTTTATAAAGAGGCAGCAAGACTCATTACTCAAATCTTTTATTTAGTGTTTCCGTCTGACAAATGTCCATTGTCCTTGAGATGTGTAGTATATGACAATGACGCAGCAACCCATCGACACAAACAAAAAATGATATCATTTTCATGATACAATTACCGCATTAAATATTTGGTACGCTAGGTCTTTTATTCTTTATAGTTTTAACTATGAGTAATAGGTCAACAATATTAGCTTCGAAATATATAATTCACATGACCTTGATATCTATTTTACGGTTCATTGATCCAGACAATTATATACTGTATATATATATATGTCTCTGAATGATCAAAGTTGAGCTTTCAAGATTAGGAAAATTTCTCAGCTACTGTAAAAATCGGGGCAATCAACTGTTGGATACGGAATGATTTCCATGTGAGTATGTTTGTTTGGCAGTGCTCAACTAACTTTTACTCTAATTCATTTTCGTCATTCATTGGTGAATGTTAATTCTTCTTAATTAGACCAGTTTCTCTGTTATAAGTAATAAGTCACGTATATTTGTATGAAGTATACAATTTTGTTCTTATACTTTATGAGGGCTCCAAGAAAGATGAGTGAAAACTAATTGGGTTACCCTGTTTGAATATAGATTATTAGTTCCTACCGTTTTTCCGTCCATCTGTCCATCCGTCTGTCCTTGTGTCTGTCCGTCTGTCAGTCCGGTAAATCAGTTTTCCACACTTTTTCTTCTTGTTTGATGGTATTGACGATGTTTGGTATATAGTTTTACCATGACAAGTCCCAAATCAAGTTCATATTTTGTTCGGTTCGGATTATATTTGGCAGAGTTATTGTCCTCGGACATATAAATTTCACGCAAATGATCAGTTTTCTGCACTTTTTTGTTATGCTTGAAGGCAAAATTAAGTTCAAGACTGATTAATTTAGCATTTTGTTCCAATACAGCGAATTTTTAATCGGTAGGGAACTATGTACTGTCATGCAA